ATCTCGTGTTCGGATCCATATGAGGTCGATCGATCCACGAGCGATGATAATTATAAGAAGACATGTTTTTTCAATCAGATTCGTGTGTGCAAAATAGAATGAGAGAGGATGAAGATATGGAGTGAATGAAGAGGATGAGGGGTGCTTGTATTTATAGATATCATCTGCCGACAATTCCCACGAAATTCCGAGGAAATTCTGAGGGAATAGCCGTTTGCGTCGGAATTTCCTCGGAATTTTTTAAATACCACAACGGCTATCTAACGGCTATAATTTCTCATCGAATTTTCCTGGGTTTATTTCGAGGGACATTGCGTCCTCGGAATGTCATCGGAAAAATCCGAGGAGACTTTTGTTCCTCGGAATTTCCTAGGTATATTCCGAGGAAACACATAAATTGTGTTTCCTCGGAATTCCCTCGGAATATCATCGGAATATTCCGAGGAAACAACGTTCCCTCGGAAATTCCCTCAGTATCGCTCTGTTTTCTTGTAGTGTATGCTATTTTCTCATCATGTTTAATTTTTGAATTGAAAGCATTACACAAGTTAATGTAAATTAGTGAAGGAAAATTAAAAAGTGATGAGGGCACGTGCCCCCGTAAGTTTCCGTGATCCCCTCTGGGTGTAAAACACCATATATTATTGGCCAAAGCGCTACTCTTTCTTCTAGTAGGACAGACTTGGTGAGTTCTTCTCTAATAATAACATCACTTCTTCTCATCCTTTGCTCACGAGGTCAATATTGGAATACAGAAGCCCAATCCAGATACATCCTTCACACACAAAAATTGTCTCATCCAATACCATCAATTGTCACTGAAGCTCTTAGAACCATAAATCTAAATAACCAAACCAAATTATATATTTAATCAGTTTCGATTCGGATTTGGTACTATTTTTCGAATCAGATTCGGTTAAGTTGTTTGGGTTCGGATTTGGTACTACTTTTTCGAATCAGATTCGGTTAGGTTGTTCGGGTTTGGATTTGGATTTTTTGCCTAGTCCTAAATAATACACATAGCAACACACTTATAAATAATATATTAAAATTTATTTTCGCCAAATAAACACTAGTAATACCAGTAGTAACCCAATCATCAATAGGAATTAAGAATCATATCTTCTTAGTGACTGTGACTGTGACACTAAGACCATGTTTCATATGGAGAATGATAGAAGGGACTGGCTCGATCTTGTGACCATCAATGACTTCAAAGTCATACTTTTGTATGATCTCCACAGCTACTATCTTCATCTTCAAGAGAGCCAAATGTTTACCCAAGCATGCTCTCGAACCGGCATTAGAAGCCATGAACTTCTATGAAGGTTCATGTCTTAGATCTCCACTTTCTGAAATCCATCTCTCCGGATTTCGATCAATCTTGGATTTGGATCAATCTTTAAAAAAAACATTTCTAGGTTAGATAAAATATTTCAGTCAATCTCTTATGTATAAAGGTTCATTTTTTGTTCTAATTTTTTTTAATATTCCAGTTCACCAGATTCATTTCTTAACTATCCCGATTTCACCATTATTTTTTAATTAATTCACCAGATCCGAATTTATAGTTGTATTTTTAAATAGTTAAAATTTTTTTTTTGTCTACATTTAATAATTTATAAATTATAAGTATTAAATAGCAATTTAGAAGAAGTAAAATATTAAAAATAATATTAAAATTAAAATTTATATATTATAGAATGAGATATAATATGGTATTCTTTTAACAACAAACTATTTTATTGATACCAAGTTATGTTCTAATGTTTACATGAAACATAAGAAATAAACAACATATTTGGAAGAAGATTTGAAATTGGAAAAGTAATAACACATTGCTATCTAACTCATCCGTAGAATATACTGATATGCTAACTTTATCCATCTTCATTCTCGGTCTTAGATGATCTTGTTTTTGGTTGTCATGCATTGTGATCAAAAGCTTTTTTTTTTCTTGTAGAAGATCATTGGATGTGATTCATTTGTTGCATCGCAATCCGTCTTCTACACTCCCACTGCAGGAGAAAACATGTCATTTTTGAAATGTTTTTTCAACAAAAAAAATTTAAACTTGAAATTTAATTTATGTTATTAATTATAAATATAAACTCGAAACTACGTTAGGCGCTAGTCGGGCGGCAACCCCGGACCTAGCGAGTTATCAAAAAAATAGGAGATTATTCAGGGATTATTACATTTATATGCATAAGTTAACATAGAAACTGATGTCTCCCATTGGTCTGGAACCCTTGTTATGTCGCCACCTAACCCGAGTTCGACACACATTCAGTGCATTATCGTTATTTCCGATTATTGATCCCATTATAATTACATAAAGTCCCATTCAGTTAACAAAGAAACTGAAGTCTCCCATTGGTCTGGAACATTTGTTATGTCTTCACAGTTAATAAAACTTTTCTATTAAAATCTGTTACTGGACCGAGTAATCTAATAATGGGACGAACGTTGAGTGGACCGGTTAATTGGCTGACGATTTTTCAGTCCGATTAGGGTAAAGTCGCGCGGAGACAGTTTGGTCTTGCAACCGGGCGGCTAGGCGTCCACGTTTTTGAACAGAGAATATAAACAAGGCAACGACCTGCTATTGAAGCTACAAGGAACTTGTTCTCAAAGGACAACTCAGATCAGCCGATAAGCATGTTATTTTCCACCTTCGAAATGAATACGAAAAATAAGGTGCAAACAGTCGAGGATAAAAAAAAAATTGAGGATAAATTAACTCATTAAAAATTCTGCCGAACTAGAATAGAACGTCGATCTCTGGCTTCGGAGTTTCCTGCTTACGGATTTCATGTTTTTTTGTTGTTTGGGTCAAGTAATTATCATGTTGTTTTTTGTAAACTTAGTAATTATCATGTTTCCAAGCTTAAACGGAGAATTTCTAGATAAAATGAATTTTTGGTATAATCCAATCTAGCATAAATATCCTCAGTGACTACGTATATAAAGAGCTTAAAAGTTAAAACCCAAAGAAGAGAGCATATTAAAGATTCACAACTTTTATTACAAACATGCAGTTAAAACAAGGATTTATATTTCAAAACATTGTACTCCTACTAAAAAGGTCAATAAGAGATTATCTTTGATTTGAAATTACAAATAGTTAGATATTATTCTACTCTAACAATCATCATTAAACATGTTGAAGGATGATAATCTAAGTGTTCTATAGTATTATTCCAGTGAGGTTTTTCGCATTGTATATTTACCCAAACGTTTCTGATTATTATTTTTGATTATTCAAGTTCATCATATTAACGATGCACTTTTGTTTCTAGGGAGAATTTCAATTATACCACTTTGGTGGTACCACTTTTCATGTTTACCATCAACAAATGAACATTTTCAAAAATACACATTTTATTAAAAGATAAAAGACTTTTATATCCTTGTTCTTTATATATATACATAAAATAAATATTAAATAAAATATTAACTTTAAACCCTAAAACATCAATTCTAAACTTTAGACCCTAAAAAATAAACCCTAAAAATCAACCCTAAACCCTAAAATATCAATTCTAAACCTTAAACCCTAAACTCTAAACCCTAAAAAGTAAACCCTAAACCCTAAAAAATCAACACTAAACCCTAAACTATCAATCCTAAACTCAAAACCCTAAATTCTAATATTATTTTGAGTATTAAAATTTTAATGATAAAGTTGGTTAGTGTAAAGTTGAAAAGTGGTATCTTAAAAGTGTTATTTCTGGCAATTTCTCTATTAGATTTTTCTGTTAAGATTTTTAACAAGACATCATCTTTTTCACAACATATTTTTTTTTTTCTTTTAATGGTCACGAGTTTCAGCCTACTAATAAACAATATGGACTGAAACTAAATAAAAAAAATGTCAACTTCTTTGGCAATATTCTATCATAAAAATCTACAACTTCGAAACATTTTAAAATAATTTTTGCAAGGATAAACATTAAATAATACGAATAGCGACACTTAAAAATAACTCAAATAGCAACACACATATGAATAATACAGATAGGCAATAGCACCACACTTACAGATAAAACATACTTTATATAATATTTGCGTCTAACAAACACTTATTACCACCAGTAACCAATTATCAATAAGAATCATATCTTCTTACTGACTGTAACTTTAAGACCATGTTTCATACGGAGAATGACAGAGGGGACTGGTTCGATCTTGTGACCTTCAACGACCTTGAAATCATAGTTTTGTATGATCTCCACAGCTATCATCTTCATCTGCAAAAGAGCTAAATGTTTACCCAAGCAAGTTCTTGGACCTGCATTAAAAACCAAGAACTTGGATGAAGGTTCACGTTTGAGTCCTCCATTCTCTAAAATCCATCTCTCTGGTTTAAAATCCAATGCGTCTTCCCCCCATATAGATCTCATTCTTCCCAATGCATAAATAGAGATCACAATCTTTGAATCTGCTTTAACTTTGTGCCCGCTTGGAAGTACATCTGGCTTTGCAGGAGACTTATGGTTAAGTGGAACTGGTGGGTAAAGTCTCATTGTTTCGGACAACGTAGCATGTAGATACACGAGCTTCTCAAGATCTGTAGGATCATCATACTTTGTGTTGATCTCATGTCGGATCTTGGTCAAGACTTGAGGATGCTTAGAAAGAAGCCAGAAGAACCAAGTGAGAGCTGAGCTTGTGGTGTCCCTTCCTGCCAACAGTAAGCTGAAAGCAACGTCTCTTATAAACGTGTCATTAGTTGGTTTCAAGTGCTTATATTTGGTCGTGTCCACATTCATATAATACGTTAACGCGTCCATTGATTGCCCGCATTCCCCGCGACTTATCTCCTCTCTTCTTGAAGATATGATCTTTGCAAACATATGATTGACAGTCGCCATAGAAGATCGCATCTTCTTCTCATGTCCAATACCCAACCAGTTTTGAAGCCTCCACAATATGACCGGTTTGAAATGTCTATAATAGATCGCTTCTTCACCGGTTTCCGCAGCTTCACCGAACTCAACTTCGGGCATCTCGATGGATAGTGACATTGGGTCATAACCAGTCATCAAAATCGAAGAAGTATCAAACATGAATCTCTGGAACACATCTTGCAAGTCTATGACAATTTTTTCATGAGCAGCATTATCGAGAAAAGGAACAAGACCTTCCTTTAACTTAATTGCATTGCTACTTACTGACAGCTTCAGAAAATCTGGATGGTGAAAGATGGCATGATTTGACTTCCTTAGATCCTCCCACAGCTCCAGATCAACACTTAAGATACCGTCTCCCAAAACATCGAAGATCTTCTTGAACTCAGGTCCTTTAGGGTAATTCCCAAAGTTTAAGCTTAGTATGTGATGGATGTTCCTTGGGTCGGCAGTAAGTAGCATGTTCGTTCCACTAAGCCATGGTCCTTTGAAAGAAAAGGTTAGATTGGTGGCCTCAAGAACTTCGACGGTCCACTCGAAGATACGTGGGATATGGCCGAGCATTCCTGGAAGCATACCAGTGAGAGGCCAGTTCTTGGGAACGGGTTGGCGGTGGGATTTCTTGTGGAAGAAGAAACACTTGAATACAAGGAAAAAAATGAATGCTAGGAAGACTTGAATTAAGCCTATCATCGCCATATAGACAAAAAGATTTTTATGAGTATAGATACGAAAGATCTTAGTTAGCTGGATTGCTATATATAACCTCGATTTAATTAAATGTAGAAGGTTGATGTGAAGAAAATGTTGATGGCACACCAAATCCCTCAAACTCATTTAGTAGAATATCTCTAAATTAAGTTAAAAATAAAAAGAATATCTCTAAATTAATAATATTGGGACTTTGCAATTTTATTAATTTATAAAGGTGTTAATTTAAAAAAAAATTCTTTATTTAGATTTTTATTTTAAGATATATTTATTTTAAGATAAGAAAAATATTTAATTTTAGGGTATAGATATTAATTATTATTTTTTGAAATTTGAAATTTATATTAATTTTATTATATTCTTTGGTGTATATAATATATATTGCATATAATTTAAATATGATTTTAGATATAATTTTACTAAATATCATAGAAGAAAATATAAAGATAATTTCATTATGAATATATAACAAATAATATAATGATAGGTTTTTATTTATATAAAAATATATACATGTAAATTATTAATTTATAATTTAATAGGACAATATCCTTACATAGAACTTTCTAAAAAAATATTATCTTATAATTTTAGTTAAATTTTGAATAAGTTTAAGTTAGAATCAATAGAATTAATTAATTTATAGAGATTATTAATTTATAGAGATTCTATGATACTGTATTTTTTGCATTTAGTGACATATGATCTAGTCGGTTATGTGTAATTCCAAAACCATAGCTAACTAATTGGTACTACAATGTCTTTTTTTTGGGTCAAAGGTTCTACAATGTCTAATTAAATTCAAGCGTCTATTTTGGTTGCGTTGGTAACAGTTGCGAAATTAAATAACTTTGTAACTAGGACAGAAAATCCTTAGAGCATCTCCAATGTGTTACTCCATATTTTACTTCAAAATGGTGCAATTCCAAAATGGAGTAAAATTTTACTCCAATGTATTACTCTTTTTTTTACTCCAAAAATAATTAATAATTGTTAATAATACCTTATATTTATAAAAGTTTACCAATTAACCCCTACTATTTTATGTTTATAAAAATACCTTAAAATATAATTTATTTAAATTAAACATTATTATTAAAAAGTACAAGAAATCAGAAAAATAAAATAGAACACAATATAAGCTGATTCAATAATGAGCATTAGAATATTTTTCGAACAATGATCAACTAATGCATTTCGTAATGAAAAATGAGCTTTGGACAATATTTCACCGGTTTTAACGGATCCGGAAGCGATTTGTTTAAATCTCTTATTTTATGTTATTTTTATTTAATATTATTTATGTTTTTAATTATGCTATGTATTTTTGTGTTAAATTCTTAAATAATGAAATATCTTGTTTTTCATGTTCTTGTATTTTTAAAAAATATTATTTAAGTAAGAAATAAAAATATTAGAGAGTTAAAGAACTATTTCATAAATACAAAAAGTTCAACTCCAAAATGGAGTAATGTGTAAGATTACTCCATAAATGGAGTAACCCTAGCCACTACTCCATTTTGGAGTTGAAAATGGAGTGGGGTTGGAGAGGATTTTACTCCAAAATGATGTTTGGAGTAGAAAATGGAGTAGGGTTGGAGATGCCCTTAGAATTGTCTACTTCAGTGTACTTTTCCAGTTTTTAGTTGATAGAATAGTTTTACCATTGTAGTCTTACCAAGATTAGGTGATAACCCGCTTGCTTCTTGTTTATCTAGTATGTACTAAGATCATCATCGACCCTATAACTTGGATTTCTTAATAATTTGTTTAATAATAAAATTAGTTAAAAATTTAGTTAAGAAATCCATAGAATTTGTGCTCTATTGGAAGTTTTTTAATTAAGATTCTTAAAAAAAAATTTACATATTCTTATTTTAAAATTTAAAAAACTGAATTAAATCTTTGAAACCTGAAACTTTGTGCAAGGACAGGCAATTCACAAAAAGGAAACAGCTAAACAATTCGCAGCAATGGCACTTGTTAGATATATTGTTGTTCACGTATGCCTCTCGAAGAACTTCTCTATCAGTACAGAGAAAGTAGCAAAGCCAGCGCAGCGCAACCTATACACACAGCTTTTGGCCCACCTAAACAAAATCCTTAAGAATCGGTTATACAAATTTATTTTTGTTTCCATTTAATTAAACGCCTAACTTTCTTTAAAAATCCTACTAAGAAACTGCATTAATGATGCTCTAAGGATATTTCTAAACAACTTGTTTGAGAACCAAAGACCACTAGAACCAAACATATGCATAATGCAGTCCTCATTTTTTCTCATTTTCGTTTTTGAAAAAAATAATTGCCACCTACCTGAAGTATCGGCCACTACATAAATGACCATGCAAAATAAAAAAATGCACTCAACTACACGAAGTATAAGATATATATGCTAACAACTATGAACTTTATGTTGTTATGTAGACAACATCACAAGCCTAATTACATTAATTATATTAAAAGGCTAATTACATTAACTATATCACAAGACTAATTACATTACTAAAAAATTATAAAAAAAACTTTATAAGATATGGAAAACCTTTTTATATTTTTATTCATATGAATATTTATTTATTTATTTTAAATTGTGTTATACAACAATATTAAAATTTATTTTATTTAAGAAAGCACTGTTAACTTTATTTAATTTTATATAATTTAATAGTTTGTTAGCTTAGCGTTTATTTTTATATGATTTGTTAGTACTTTTAACCCTTGTTTATAAATATAAATAAAAATTATTAATTAAAAAATAAAAATTGAAACTACACAAATTTGAAAAAAACATATTCCAAAAAAATCCAGAAAACAATTTATAAAAAAGTTATACTTAGTTATATTTGAAAATGTCCATCTAAAAAAGTCAATCATGAATAATGGTAGCAAAAGTGAGGTAAAAGTAAAATTTCCCCACTATTTTTGTGTTATATTAAAGAAAACAAATTTATATAAAATTCTGTTTTTATATTTTAAATAATAAAGTCATTTAAACAATATTTTAAAAACGTTTTATATTTTTAAAACATTTTCAATAAACTAATTTTTTTTTAATATTTAATTACGATTTTTTTTTTAATTTTCACAAATCTTAAAAACTTTAAAATATTTATGTTGATATATCTCTTAACCAATCATATATATATATATATATATATATATATATAAATGCTAAACTAACAAACTATTAAAATTAAAATAAATTTAAAAGTAATTTATACAATAACATTAATTTTAATATTCTTGTATAACACTTTTTAAAATAAAAAAATATTCATAATAATAAATAGGGATTTTTGCAAATTTGACTCAAAACTCAAAGTCAAACACAAAACTAACCTTTCTTGTTTTTTTATTTTTCGTTTGTCTTATTCACCCCATCTATTCACATTATTTACGAAAATGCCATTGCATTATTTTTTTGAAATTTTTTTTTTTTACTCTCTCAACCTCATTATCTTCAAGTATTTACAAGATTGACATTTCCATCAATACCCTAACTACCATGAACAACCAATTTGAAGCTCTTAATGCACTTAAAATCGATTTACACTCTCTCTTTCTCAATTGTTATGAACTAAAAACAACATCTCTTTCACTTTGTCTCCATATTCATACAAAAACCCAAGCTTTTGATTCAAATTTTTTTATGGTTGATAGAGCCATTTAAGCATACAATATTTGGTGGGTTACTTTCATTTGATATTATGGGTGGTTGGAGAAGACTTTGTGTGCTGAGAAAGTCATATCACCTAGTTTAAGGTATGAAATTGAAATTTTTTCCAGATCTGTTCGCGTAGAAGACTTACGAGTAAGTCTTCTGGATGAGCTGGACGACTTACTTCTAAGTCTTCCAGCTTTGTATGTTAAAAAAAAAAAAAATCTGGACGAGTCGTCTAGGAAAAACGGGCTAGTTTTGCATTTGACCGAATTGTGTCAGATATTTGACTTTTCCTGGACGACTTACCCGTAAGTCGTCTCCGGGAAAGTTAAAATTTCAATATTTTATTAAATCTAGACGACTTATGGATAAGTCGTCTTAGGTTAGTTTTGTAATTGAAAAAAAAAAACTTTAATTTTAATTTTTTCCAGAAGACTTAATTTAAAGTCTTCCAGTCAGACGACTTATTTTAAATTCGTCCAGTCAGACGGCTTATTCTAAAGTCGTCTGAGATAAGTAAAGTCGTCCAGATTTTTTTCCGGTCAAACTTTGCTTATCTCGGACGACTTTCGAATAAGTCGTCATACTGGATGACTTTAAATTAAGTCTTACGGAAAAGTTAAAATTAAATTTTTATTTTTCAATTACAAAACTAACCTAAGAGGACTTATCCGTAAGTCGTCTAGATTTAATAAAATATTGAAATTTTAACTTTCCCGGAGACGACTTACTACTTACTGGTAAGTCGTCCAGGAAAAGTCAAATATCTGGCACAATTCGGTCAAATGAAAAATTAGCCCGTTTTTCCTAGACGACTTACTTATATGTTGTCTAGATTTTTTTTTTTAACATACAAAGCTGGACGACTAGGAAGTAAGTCGTCTCATTTAAATTTCAATTGCAAAAATGACATGTCTGGAAGACTTACAGTTAAGTCGACTGGACGACTTACGGTTAAGTCGTCTGGACGACTTACTTGTATGTCGTCTGCGTCAATGACTAATAATTAAGTCATCTGGAAAGTCTTCCAGCTGGATGAATTTCGAGACGACTTAATTATTAGTCTTCTACTAAGTCGTCCAGGCTTTATGAGTATGTATTAAGAATTTGTGTTAGTCTTCTTAGATGACTAATAATTAAGTCATCTGAAAATTCTTTCAGCTAGATGACTTTCCAGAAGACTTAATTATAATTCTTCTACTAAGTCGTCCAAGCTTTATGAGTATGTATTAAGAATTTGTGTTAGTCTTCTCAGATGACTAATAATTAAGTCATCTAGAAAGTCTTCCAGCTAGATGACTTTCCAGACGACTTAATTATTAGT